ATTTTTGCCATCTGCGAACATACTGCTGATGTTTTGTCTAAAAGCTCCATCTTTGTCTCATCTGTTAATAGGACATTTCCCATCAAGCTTTGTGGCTTGTCGAACAAGCCCTTTGGCAAATTTCAGTCGTTCTTGTGGTTTGAATTAAAATTTGCCGGCAATATTTTCAATTTACTTGAAAATGTTTGTTTTTCATGCTTTTTGATTTTCATGTATGCAAAGACAGTCTGTTCTGACTATTGAAGGAGGCAGTCGCATTTTCCTGCTGGTCTGCAACTTCCTGATCTGTCCCTGCTTTGCTGTGCCTTGTCTTTTCTGAGCTCTCTCCTCATTTCACCCGAATTCAACCCGAACTGGAAGGCAGGGAAAAGGAGACCCGCCCTGTCCTACCGGGACATACACCATGGAGTCCTGGAAGGCTTGGAGGATGGTGTGTTTTACAATGCTGTCAGAGGAGGATATCGAAGATGTGTTGAATTTCGGATTTATGATAATCGGATTTCTCCTGTTTGGATTTGGAGGATACCTGATCTATCTATAATTACAGAGAATATCTGCGGCATTTTGGGCATTGATCAGGCTGTCGGCAGCGGTTGACGCGCTCACAAAGTCTGTGAACGAGCAGGACAGTGAGCTGAGCCGTATGCTGGGTTTGATTGAACGCAGGCTGGCTGCGGTGGTTGAACTCAAAGATGAGACAGGATAATATCATGGATGTGCACGCTAGCTTTAAGGTGGAAAAGCCCAACACATTCGGAATATTGGATTCAACATGTGGAGCCAGCAAGAAAAGACTGTAGGCTGACGGAAAATTCCTGTCCAGCCTGCTCTCAAAACAATAACTCTTATTCTGGATTCGGCCTCTCCCCCCTTACCAAAATCTCCCCTGGATGTTATGGCGAAAGGGCAAAGAAGAACTGCTCCTCCCTCCCCTACCCACGAACATCAGTGGATGCGCCCAGAACTGTAGTGGCAGTTGATAAACTTCCATCTCATCAAGGACAATGGCCTGTGGTCAGCGTTCATGGACAAATTGAACGCACTTATCATACATACTGTTGTTGAAAAATTTTATTTCTATTCTTTCCTTCTTTCATATATTGATGCATGCTATTTACTCTCTAGCTACTTTTAGCCATTTATCCGGGATCTCGTTCTTTTGCTCATGAGCCAGATTTACCCCAAGATACTTGAACTCCTCCACTAGAGGCAGGAACTCTTCTTGAACCAGAAGGGGGAAAGCCACCTTTTTCCGATCCAGCACCATGGCCTTGGACTTGGAGGGGCTGATTCTCATCCTGACCGCTTTGCACTTGGCCATGAACAGCCGTAGTGCAAGCTGTAGGTTTTAGCTGGAGAGGGACAGCAGAACATCACCTGCTAAAAGCAGGCATGAAATCTGCCGAATTATTTTTTTTCTAGCCATCATAATGCAATACATCAAGTTTAAAAGCTATGAATTTCTAAATCATACATATTTTGTAAATATCCATGTTTATTTCAACAGGGTTATCAAGAGGAAGCTCTTGAGTAGAAAGGTACCAAATACACAACAGGAGAGTCAAACACAGCTAGACATGATCTTCCAGGTCTGTATGTGCACAAGCAAACTAAACCTCTCTGCATATATGCAATTTATATTTATATTGTTAGGATAATTATCATTGAAGATGTGTGAGTTTATTACGCCTTCGTATGAGCTCCCTGTTGGACGTCAGAACTGACGTTTTAATCTGATTAGGCCAGTTCGTCTGTCCGGATATAGTTATAATCTTCATTCTGTACACGGCAAATATTTGGGAATGGAATTAGAGCGCCGTCCTTCAGCTAAGAACAAAGTATAATATGTTGATAAGGCTGGAGCCATGGATGTCTCCTCATCTGCTAACATGTATGATGTAAAATAAGATGATGTGGCAGACTGGAGAAAATGCCTTTTTAACTGTTAATCTGGGTCACTTCCTGAGAGGTGAGCTCGGGGTGAGCAGCTGCCTTCTGTATATTCTAAGCAATTTCTCTGATCTGAGTTGCATTACAATTTCTATCAGAATCTGTTGTCATGTCTCCTGGTTTTTTAACCATAAAAGTTATAAAATTTTTTTTAAAGAGTTTATCCCGAGTGATCTATTTTCAGGGAAAAGAACTGGAAAGATAAAGCATCAGGGTGCAGACACAGAGCCTATCTTTAACACTGGGACTCCCAGAATTCTGATCCTACTAGAACTCCAACTTGAACAAAAGTTTAACTATTGTCTGATGGGTCACTGATGCAATCATCCTTGGACTCTCTGTCACAATCTGAGCCACTTCCTACCCAGTCGTCCTCATCGGTCTCTCCCTCTCCACCTGAATAACTAGCATTAATATTTTTGTAGGATTTCTAAAGCCTGTTCTGCGGTCAGATTTCTTCTGAAAGCGTTCCAGGTAGAATGTCGGTTGCTAGGCGAATGTACCAAACGTCAATCAGCCGCGGGAAGAAATTACAGTGCAATTTATAGAGCCGTCAAAATGACGGCTGTGGGAGATCGAGGTAGAATTAACCATATTTATTTTTTAAGTTTTTATTTTATTTAAAAAAACGACATGAAAATGAAGGAAATATAGAAACAGGAAAAGTCAGGAAACCCGAGCAACATATCATTAATGTAAATAAAGTTCTTTCCCTTTAAAATTTTAGAACCGTCAAAATGACGGCCGTGGGAGTTCCAGTGTTAACAATATTCATATGTATGTATATATATAAATACACCTTTTATTATATATGTATGTGTGTATATTATATATATATGCATACATGTGTGTATGTATGCATGTATGTGTGTGTGTATATTTTTGTATGCATCTATATAAGAATACATTTTTTATTTGTTTCAGAAATTACAAGATGACATTATAAAGTTTGTGAAGATGGAGCTAAATAAATGTAAGAAGGTCCTCAGTTCAGATTGTCCAGAGTTGGTGTTGGAAGGAATGGATGATGAAGAGACAAGTATAAGAGACACAAGAGAAGCATTTCTGAAGATCACAATGAACTTCTTAAGGACAATGAAAATGGATGAGCTAGCCGACCGTCTGCAGAGCAGTAAGAACATTTTATTGATTCAGCGTCATAAGTAATATATATTTGTTAACAAATTTGCTACAGAAACTTGAAATTGCGCAGGATCTTTAAGCAATACCGGCATGCACAGCCTGGGCTCTGGTATGACCCATTTGGGGATGCAGAGTCTGGTTTGAGTGTCCTATTCTCGCCCCGCCTCAGCTCCCTCGTTTTGGAGTTCTCCCAGTGAGTGACAGGGTTATAATCCCTGAGCCTTTTGCTATGTAGGAGGGCTCTAACATTTGCCTTAGCTCACGGACAAAACTGATTATAAAGTGGCTTCTTAATGTCCCTACTGAGGATTCCATACCAAACCCGTATTATTTTTTTATTTTTTTTGTAAAGCACTTTACATGCAGCTGATAAAAACAGTAACATGTTTTTCTTTTTCAAGATGGCAGCGTAGCAAGAGTTCAACTTTGTTTAACTGCGCACCATTTATTCCATATTTAAGCAGAATACCAACCTCTTACTAAGACATTTCACCTAAATGTGGTAATACTCCAGCACAATGCCGCACAAACTCTAAAGAAACCCATCAAGACCTGCGAAGTAGAGTCTCAACTGACTGGCACAGGTAACATGGCTAACACGGAGCTAAGGGCTATGTATACTCCCCGCAACAGTGTGTCGCAGTGAGCTTGTCACAGGTATAATTTGAACCAGGGAGGAGTTTGGTGACACTGTAGAGAAAGATTTTGTCATTCTGGAAAACCATCAAGCACCTTTGGAGGGGACAGATGTGTTTCTCTTGCACAGCTTGTAGTAGGAATTAGGAGCTTCTAATGTTGACTAAGGACATTGTAGAACATTGGGCAAGTAATCTAGGGGTCTCCAAAATAATGTTTTCTTTTTTTAAATTGTCATTACACTGTCACAACTACAGAGCAATGACATTAACTCTCTGCATTTAACCCACCCCGTTGAGGAGCTGGGCTGCCATTGTGCGGCGCTTGGGGAGCAGTGTGGTGGTTAAGGGTTTTACTCAGGGACCCAGAGTGACCAAATGTTGGAGTGGGGCTCGAACTCTGAATCTCAAGATTCTAAGCTCTATGCCCTAACCACTAGGCCACAACTTCCCACATTCCCAAAATAATCTGGTACTGACGCCTGGTCTAAAGGCCTGGTAAAATACTAATTGGTGCAGGTGGATAAGATGAGTATGACCGAGAACAGAGCAGAGCTGAGCAAGTGTGTCTTGTGAGGAATCAGACCAGCATCACTTCCAAGATCATGACACTAAGTACATAAGGTCTCTAGATTTTAGTTGGGCTCTGTGAGTCCTTGTTAGACGAACTGAGCCAGTATGCTTCTTTGTTTGAATGTTTTTATATCTATCTCACCTTTTTTAATTGGGGGCTTTACCATATAGATATAACTTAAACAGTATATAATGTCTTTAAAATGTATTCAAGTTTCATATCTTCCCTAGGTAATTTGATTATAAGAACTTCCCAACTCTGTGCAGTGTGCTCGCAACAATGACTTCAGGGTTTGGTGAAAACGCTCTAGAGCCCCCTGGTTTTGAGCATGATAAGCACTGCTTTGTTGATGGACTACACCAAGTTGTTTCAAGATCTCGGCAAACATGCATGAAGTGAAGTTGGTACCTCTGTTGGTCTGAATGGTCTTTGGAATTCCAAACACTGAAATGAAATTAGACAAAGCTTTGACCACCAACTGTTGTAATGGTTTTCAGAGCATAAGCTGCTGGATAACGAGTGTTTTTACACATGACTGTTAGTAAATAAACAGATCCTAACTTGGAAGGACTCTGTGGGCCAACGCAGTCTATGATCAAGTGTTCAAAAGGTTTGCCAGCTGCAGGTATGGGAAAAAGCAGAGCTGATTTTAGGTTCTGATTAGGTTCCCCAGTTAACGGGCAAGTGTGACAGGTTTTCACAAAATAAGAGACATCTTTTTTCAGACGTGGCCAATAAAAATGACGTAAAACTCGATTTTAAGTTTTATTGACTCCCAAATGGCCAGACAATTCTCCATGAGCAGTTTTCAAAACAAGATTTCAAAACTTTAATGGAACAACTTGATAAACTGGGCCAGCAATATCCTGGTCACTGTAAGGCAACCATTTACGTACCAACAGATCTTCTTGTAGAAAATACCCACATGACACTCTTGTGTCCTGTTCAGCTGCCTGGACCTTGTCAAACAGAGCAGCCAAGGTTGTATCCTCCTGCTGGGCTGCAATCCACTCACTCAGTGACAAAGGAACAGGAAGAGTTGGCAAACAGGAAGTCTTCTTAAGAATAGTGCCAGGCTAACAGATTCAACATTCTTTACAGCCAAAGAACGAGTAAAGGCACGGGTTACTGCACAAGCTGGAAAAGCCTCAGGAAAGTCTCGAGCACAAACATCTGACACACAAACGGATGGAGAAGCTCGGACCACTGGAGGTGGTGCAACACCTCGCCACACATGACCACCTGCCAGATTGTTTCCCAAAATGAAAGAGATACCTTCCACAGGCAAAGAAGGATGAACAGCTATAGTTACTTCTCCTTGTACCAGTTCTGACTGCAAGTAGATCCTATGGAGAGGCACAGAGAAAGTTTCCAACCCAATACCTCTAATTAAGACACTACAACCAGTATCAGACAATGTAGAAAATGGCAAAACAGATTCCAACATGAAAGATTCAGATGCTCCAGTGTCACGCAGAATCTTCGCAGCCCCTTTATCTGAACTTCCACTCCAAGAAACAAACCCATGTGTGATGAAAGGAGCGTAGTCTTGTCCAGCATCCCTCTCAAAAATCTGGGGATTTTTGCCGGTCAGTTCTGAAAAAACTTAGAATCAACAGATGCAGCCAAAACAGTTGGTCTTACACTTTCAATTTTAGCTGGTGATGTAGACTCCACTGAATGCAACTGAGAAACACTGGCTAAAGCCGCAGGTTTTCGATATTCTTGTATCCTCCTAGCCGATTTCATTTTGGTATTCAGAGGACACTCATTTTTCCAGTGTCCCTTCTGGCGACAATAGTTACAGACCAATTCTGCTTTAGATTTCACAGTAGGATCCTATCTAGTTTTACCTGAGAACCAGTCATGATGGGATTCCTTAAAGCTATGGCCACCTTTCAAATTGTAATCCCTCACAGCTTTATGGGTCAGGATATACTCATCTGTTAAGATGGCAGCTTTAGCAGCTGTTTTTACTTCTTGTTCATTAACATATGTGGCAACCCGATCTGGAATAATGTTCTTGAACTGTTCCAACACCATCAAATCACAAAGGGTTTCAAAATCATTCACACCTTCAGCTAATAACCAGCGATAAAACTGGGTGTTTAGTTCTCTGACCAGATTTGTATTTGTCTATTTTTTAGCCTTTATGCAGTTCCTAAATTATTGTCTATGATGTTCAGGAACCAATCCATAAGCCTTCAAAACAGCGTCTTTAACAGATTTGTAAACCTTTCTTTCAGCTGAAGTTAATGAAACATAAGCTTCTTGGGTCTTACCCACCAGTACACTTTGCAGCAGAATTGAGAATTCTACATCACTCCAGTCATTGTCCTCTGCCATGTCCTCAAATAGAGAAAAAAAACACATCTGGATCTTGCTTATTAAACTTAGGTAACAGCTTCAACATGCTAACCAAGTTATATCCAGAAAACCCATCACCACCTTGAGACATTTTAAAAGACCCACCACTTAACCTGCCCTCAGACATCAACTTCAAACGCTCAGCTTCTAGAGATAATTTCTTCACCTCCAACTCATGAGCTAACCTCTTTTCTTCTTGCTCATGCACTAGCCTCTTTTCCTGTAAAGCTAGTTTTCTCTCTTCAAGCTCATGTGCTAGCCGTAATGTTTCCAACTCAAACCGCATTTTCTTCTCACTTGTCTCAAATTGAAAATTTAATTGAGAAGCTTGAGATACTGTTGGATCTGATGATTCATCTTCCAACTTTGAGGCACCAGTTAAAGAATCCTAACCATCGGAAGTTACATCTGTCACAGCAGCATCTGAAAGGGAAACAGTAAAGACATTCAGTTTTACAAGTTTGTCTCTTAAGAAACTCCTTAGTTGAGGTAACTTTAATCTTTTTGCAGCTTCAATATCAATTTTAAAGTGTTCAGCTACTTGACAAATCTGTTCCTTTGTAAGCTTTTCCAACATTTCCAAAGTTGCGGAAGACAAAAAAGAACCTACATTATCCCATTGTCAAACCAAAATAATCCAACAAACCAACTTCCAAAACAAAATGAGTCACTTTTTTTATGTATTTTTTTTAACCAACGACCATATGGAAGTGCATGAATGGTACAAACAATTGGCAAAACTCCATTAAACTGCCACTAACTAACTGATCAAATCCCTGACTAACCTTAGCCTAGTCTTCAGGCTTTCCTCCAAGAGCCAAGGCACTTTAAGCACCAAGATACCACTGGCAGCAAATCCCTCCGGGCCAAAACCTCTCAGGCAGCAAACCACGGCGGTGCCCTCAGCCCAGAATCTAGCTCAAAAATAACAAACTAAAATAATAACAGGGTTGACTAAAATGGAGTTGCCAAAACAACAAACACCAAACATCACTTACCTACTACAAAACAAAAAGTCCTCTCTCTCCCCCACCAACAAAGATCAAAAATCCCCATGGATCTCCAACAACATACATATGGAACATAAAAAATGTCCCAAAATCTAGTAAGATTCCCAAACACCTTCAACTAGCCAGAAAGCCTACCAATAACCTGCAACACAGGAAAACCAAAGTCAACGGCATGTAACTGCAACATGAACACAACAATGAAGCCAATCAAGCATAATTAGTCCATATATCCCGGACAAGCCCCCACAATTTTACGTCAACCCGGCTTGTTTGGTAGGAAACCACACAAGGATTTTCTTTAAAGTGAAATTTTAATTTATTAAATTATACTAAAGAAACAATACCTGAATAATTTATATATGAAATTGGGAATAGTAAATGGCTTAATGCAAAACGAATAACTAAACAGAAATAAGCAAATGCTAACAAACCTAACAAACCCAACCATAGAATACAGACCAAACCAAACAGGGTTCTGAGGAGGTAAGAGGGAGAAGCCTCCTGTCTGCTGCTTGCATGACAGCTTTTAAAGCAGACCAGCACCAATTAGGGCAAAACAGATCACCTGCAGAAGGCCTGCATCCAGAACCCTGCAAGGAAACGTGCACAAACCCACTGCAGCCATAACACCTAGTTAGGTTAAATTAAGAGATCTTGCCATTAGAACCCATTTGCTTTAAAGCCATTTTCTTGCATATGCCTTCATATAGCATTCACACTCAAAATGTGCTTTTGTTTTTAGCTTTGAACCATGTGGTATTCAACCTCTACATTACTTTGTACCATCTACCACCAAACCTTCAAATGTTTTGAAACATTCTATTTTAGATTAAGGTTTTATTAACATGCAGTTTTTTTTGTTGTTTTCTTTTTTCCATCAACTTAGAAACTCCTTCATCAGTCTGTCACCATAGGCTTAAATCTGGTCTGAGGAAGAAGTTCCAGTGTGTGTTTGAGGGGATCGCTAAAGCTGGAAGTTCAACCCTTCTGAACCAGATTTACACAGAGCTCTATATCACAGAGGGAGGGACTGGAGAGGTCAATGAGGAACATGAAGTCAGACAGATTGAAACAGCATCCAGGAAACCACACCGATCAGAAACGACAGTAAGACAAGAAGACATTTTAAAACCACCACCAGGAAGAGATCAACCAATCAGAACAGTGATGACGAAGGGAGTGGCTGGCATTGGGAAAACATTCTTAACCCAGAAGTTCACTCTGGACTGGGCTGAAGGCAAAGCCCACCAGAACATCCAGTTCATATTTCCATTCACCTTCAGAGAGCTGAATGTGCTGAAAGAGAAAAAGTTCAGCTTGGTGGAACTTGTTCATCACTTCTTCACTGAAACCAAAGAAATCTGCAGCTTTGATCACTTCCAGGTTCTGTTCATCTTTGATGGTCTGGATGAGAGTCGACTTCCTCTGGACTTCAAAACCAACCAGATCCTGACTGATGTTACAGAGTCCACCTCAGTGGATGTTCTACTGACGAACCTCATCAGGGGGAAACTGCTTCCCTCTGCTCTCCTCTGGATAACCACACGACCTGCAGCGGCCAATCAGATTCCTCATGATTTTGTTTGCATGGTAACAGAGGTCAGAGGCTTCAATGACCCACAGAAGGAGGAGTACTTCAGGAGGAGATTCATAGACGAGGAGCAGGCCCAGAGGATCATCTCCCATATAAAAAACTCCAGGAGCCTTCACATCATGTGCCACATCCCAGTCTTCTGCTGGATCACTGCTACAGTCCTGGAGGATGTCTTGGAAACCAGAGGGGGAGGAAAGCTCCCCAACACTTTGACTGAGTTGTACATCCACTTCCTGGTGGTTCAGACCAAAGTGAAGAAGGTAAAGTACGATGGAGGAGATGAGACAGATTCACACTGGAGTCCAGAGAGCAGGAAGATGATCGAGTCTCTGGGAAAACTGGCTTTCAATCAGCTGCAGAAAGGAAACCTGATCTTCTATGAATCAGACCTGACAGAGTGTGGCATCGATATCAGAGCAGCCTCAGTTTACTCAGGAGTGTTCACACAGATCTTTAGAGAGGAGAGAGGGCTGTACCAGGACAAGGTGTTCTGCTTCGTCCATCTGAGTGTTCAGGAGTTCCTGGCTGCTCTTCATGTCCATCTGACCTTCATCAACTTAGGAATCAATCTTTTGGAAGAACCAACATCCCATCGCATTTCAACACATTTCTACCAGTCTGCTGTTGACAGAGCATTACAGAGTTCAAATGGACATCTGGATTTGGTCCTCCGTTTCCTCTTGGGTCTCTCCGTGACTAACAATCAAACACTTTTACGGGGTCTGGTCAAACAGAATACGAAAAGCTTACAGGACAACCAGGAAACAATTCACCACATCAAGGAGAAGATCCATGCAAACCTGTCTGCAGAGAAGAGTATCAACCTGTTTCACTGCCTGAATGAGCTGAATGACTATTCTCTTGTTGAAAAGATTCAACAGTCTTTGAGTTCAGGAAATCTCTCCACCGATAAGCTGTCTCCTGCTCAGTGGTCAGCTCTGGTGTTTGTTTTACTGTCCTCAGAAACAGTTCTGGAAGTGTTTGACTTAAAGAGGTACTTTGCTTCAGAAGATGTTCTTTTGCGACTAGTCCCTCTACTGAAAGTCTGCAGCAAAGCTATGTGAGTATTCCTCTCTTAAAATAAAAATGGCTTTTTTTTTTTGTTTGTTTTTGTTTTTTTTACAGGAGACAAACAATTGTTTTTTATTTCAGACTTAACAGTTGCAACCTCTCGGGCAGCAGTTGTGAAGTTTTGTCTTCAGTTTTGAATTTGCAGTTCTCTAGTCTAAGAGAATTGGATCTAAGTAACAACAAACTGCACGATTCTGGAGTAGAGCCTCTGCTGAAGACTGGCCTACAAAGCAAATACTGTCAACTGGTAACTCTCAGGTATGTGTTCTTCTATATTAAATAAAATTTAGATATGACGTGCTATACTCCTAAAGTACTGCTGAGGCTGTACGTCAGGTGGGATGCAATCACCTTGCCCCGATGCCTCTCATCTTGCGGTTTGGGGCTGCCTGCCCTGACCTTGCATGCGGCCCTTGGCTGTAGTCGGAGGGGGGGCTAGGGGCTGTTTGGCACCTGGGCTCGGGTCGCTGGCGTGCTGTGCTTGGTCCAGGGGGTGGGCTACCTGGGTTGCGATTGCCTGGCGGCCCTTGGTAGGAGAGAGACATATGGACATGAGGGCCTGAAGCAGCTGAGTTGGCTACATCTCCTTGTCTGTTGAGGCGGGGGTGTCGTTTATAAAAGGATACCGTGGGGGGGTGGTCCCTCCTTGGGGCGGGCCTTCCTGGGGATAGCCCCTCTGTTTTTTTGTTTTTTTTAACCTTCCGACACTGTGTTGTCTGTGGAACTCCTTCTAGGTCTGTGGGCCTGCCCCCCTAAGATCATTGGCCATCAGACCCGGAAGGATAGTGTACATATGAGGACTTTAAGAATGTGTTAAGTGTCTGCCCCAGTGTCCGTCTCCGTTCAGTTCTAGTAAATATATATTGGTGTGATAATGTGAATGTGACTGGATCAATGTGAAGTTGTTTGTGACATCTTGTGAGATTGGGTGTTTGCCTCCCCGACCCCACTTACTGAACATCCTATGAGTAGGGCTTGCCTTCCCCTTGTTATACGTGGGCCCTGGCCTCCCCGCGGATGGATCGGCGTGGGCCCAGGCCGCCGCGGACAGGCTGTGGTGAACCTTGAAGGTCCACTGTTTGCCACGGTCCTCTTAACTTCGGAAGAGGCTGATGCCGATTCACAAGTACACGAGAACGCACAAGTAGACAGATTGAGAAACCTATAAAGTGCTCCTGGCGCGTCTTCCAACTCCTGTTCTTTCCCACTCACCATACCCACACAATTCTCCACCACA